ACAGGGTTGATAGACAAAAACTATAAAAAGTAGTGGCTCGATATGGAGTAAGTGAACACCTCATTGAAGTTTGCAAAAGCCTAAATAGCGATTGTAGAAGCGTAGTTAGAAAAAATCAGGGAACATCTAAACCATTCAAAGTAACATTTGGAGTAAGACAGGGATGTGTCTTATCGCCGCTCCTGTTTATCACCTACACTGACAGATAAGCAAGTATGCCAGGCCCAGGAACGAAAATAATAGTAACATCAACAAATTACTCTTTGCTGAAAACAGGCCTTGATTGCAGATACAGCCATGAATTTGCAACAGCATCTAACATTAATAATCAATGAAGAATGTAAATCAAATAATATGAGAATAAACATCGAAAAGACAGAAGTAATGTCAATAAGAAGAAAGAGGCAGGATTTAAACATGGTACTAGAGCATTCATATATTAGACAGACATCTGAGTTTAAATATCTTGGAACAACACTCACTGAAGATGGTAAACTGGATGAAGAAATAAACATCCGATGCAGCAAAGCCGGCCAAGTATTGGGAAAGCTAGATCCCCTCTTACAGCATAAGGTAATCCCAATCAGCACAGAGACATCTCATACAAAGCATATGGATTCCCATCCTATGCTACCAATGCCAGACGTGGTCACTCACAATAAAACACAAAAGAAAATTAGTAACCATGAAAATGATGTGTCCGAGAAAGACTGTAGGAGTGACCAAAAGAGATAACATTAGGAATAAGGTCATACAAGATAAAGTCGGCACAGAACCCATTCTTCATTACATACAAGGACAAGACGTCAAATGGTTTGTCCACTTGGAGAGAATGACTTCTGATGTTATAACATACACGACACATACCAAATGAGGAGAGGGGCGTAGAGCGAGAGGTAGACCAAGAAAAAATGGGAAGATAACACCAGATAAACTCTACAGCACCACGATGTGTCTATGGTCGAAACAGCCAGAAGAGCACGAAGCAGAACCATATATTTCCCTCGACACCCGAAGCGGTAAAAGTGGACATAAAGAAGAAGAAGAAGAAGAAGAAGAAGATTCGAACCTAAGACCTCTTCACTGTATAAATGTTGATTAAATTTATATTTTTATTTAAACCGTCTTCGTTTATTTGTCAATTGCACCGAAGAAGCCGTTTAATTGCTCAATACTCGAAGTGTCTCAAAAATGTGCCTGTACTTAGCACAGTGTTTATTATAGTACCGCTGAAAACTAAATGATGCATGAAAAAAGTGCCAGTGCTGCTAACTGCCGCGTACTGCATTAAAAAAAAACGGAAAGCCCTGATTTTGATTTTTATTGTTTACTATTTTTAAAATTGATATTTTTATTATTACTATTATTATCGTACTAGAAGCAAAAGGCCCTAAGTGCCAAGGAAAAAAAAAGAAAAAGAGTTCGTTAGGAGGGGACTAGAAAAAAAATAATCTAGCCCAGACATGAGATCTATTGAATACAGTCTATATAGCAGTAACAATAAGACTAGAGACCAATAAATACCAGTCCTAACAAAACAACTGGAACTCCTTTAGGCTCTCCCCCACCTTTTCCCCCATTATTTCTATATGTCAGCCCCCCTGCTGACACTAGTTCAGCTACCGTAAGCGATTCATTAACACAGAAAGCAACACTATTACAACTGTACCGTGACTATTTTATTAACGTTACACGGAGCTCGTGGAAACAGGAAAATATTACAGAAACACTAGGCTGCTACATTCAGTATAGATGTCAGTAACAGACAAAGTGTTCATGGAATTGATCTGGCAGCGCCATCATCAGATATGCATTAAACTGTTCTATTAGCACGACCGCGTGAAACATTTACTCGACCAGTTGGGAATACCAGCGCCATCTGAGTACACTCATCCCGTGATGCAAGATGTAAGCAGCAGCAATACGTTCAAATTTGTACCCCGGCGGAGTGACACATTAAAAAAACTTCCAGCAGGAGTACCGTCAGCACGAAATCTTGAAGAAAAAAAAAAGGAGGGGGGGGGGGATCATGGCATAAACACTTATAATTGTCTAAGGGTGCTGCTCAGTGAGCTTAATCCTTATTTAAGTGTGCAAAAACACTTATTATTTGTATTATCTGCCGATGATAAATAAATATAAAAATGCATTTGAAAATGTATAAACAAATACTTTTTGAAAAAAAAAGTTTGTAGGGGGACCATTTAGCCCCATTTCAAATGTTCTAGGGGTGGGGGCGGAGCCTCTCTTTCCTTAGAAGATTTGGGTGAGGGCTCCAGGTGTCTGAGTCCCCCAGGCTCCGGTGACTGTGCTCCCTGGCTCTGGTGTCTGAGCCCCAGGCTCCGGCATCTGAGCTCCCAAGTTCCGGTGTAAACCCCCCAGAGCTCCAGTGTCTGAACTCCCAAGCTATGGTGTCTCAAATCCCCCCCCCCCCCCAAGCTCCGGTGTCTGAACCCCAAGCTCCGGTGTCTGAACCCCGAGCTCCGGTGTCTGAACCCCAAGCTCCGGTGTCTGAACCCCAAGCTCCGGTGTCTGAACCCCAAGCTCCGGTGTCTGAACCCCAAGCTCCGGTGTCTGAACCCCCCCCCCCCCCCAAGGTTTAGTGTCTGAACCCCAAGCTCCGGTGTCTGAACCCCAAGCTCTGGTGTCTGAACCCCAAGTTCCGGTGTCTGAACCCCACGCTCCGGTGTCTGAACCTCAAACTCCGGTGTCTGAACCCAAAGCTCTGGTGTCTCAACCCCCCCCCCCCAAGCTCTGGTGTCTTATTCCTTTAAAGCTCCAGTGTCTGAGCTCCCAAGCTCCGGCGTCTCAATCCCTCCCCCCCCCCTCCTTTACCCAAAGCTCCGGTGTCTAAACCCCCAAGCTACGGTGTCTAGTGCCCCCCCCCCCTTTCCCCAGGGTCCGGTGTCTGAACCCCACAAATTCCAGTGTCTGAACCCCTGACTCACATTGTCTGAACCCCTAAGCTCCGGTGTCTGAACTCCCAGACTCAAGGTGTCTGAACCCCCTAACTCCGGTGTCTGAATACCCAGGTCTTCCTGGGCGGGTTATCAAATTAAATAAATAAGTACATTAAGTTTACTCAGCTGCAAGTTTACAAAGCAGACGAAACTTCTTCACAGTCTTAGACATTTTTTTCAGTATTTACCCCCCCCCCCCACACACACACACACACACACATACATACATACATATACACACACACACACCAGGGCTATTCAACTAAATTTACTCCAAGGCAAAAATTATGAAAATGTGGGTCATCGCGGGTAAAAAGAGTGGGGGGGGGGGGAGGCTGTATGATGTTTTCACTGAAAAAGGGGTGGTGGGCCACACACACACACACACACACACACACAAGTGTGTGAAACACTGTAGTAGATGTGGTGTCATACGCTAGACTTTATTGCACTAAGCGTTCTTAATTACTTTTCGCAATGAACCCCCATGGACTTCATTTGCCTCTCAGCACAGAGCCACAGATAACAGCATCCCTTGGATTTGACCCAATCCACCTCACCCCCCAGAGAATACACACATCACTGTGTCCTCTACTTGTGCCATCCAAGACTGTCCCCCCACCAGCCCGTGACTCTGTTGCAGTCATGTCTTCACGAATAAGCGGCTATCTGTCAGCTACTTCCCTGAATTAGCTTGCAGCCCCTTCAGCCAGTCTGCAAAAGTTGACAGTGCAAGTATATATCGCATAAAGACTACATTGGTGTCTCTTGAACATCATAGAATTACTGGCAAAGCTTCATTCTTGATGTGCTCAAGTGACACCTGCTGACCCTGTGATACGGTGGCAGCTCCAGTCCATACTCAGTCACAAAAACCATCAAGCGCTGGTACAACATGAACAGCATTTATTCCCCCATGTTCATTGCTGCCATAAATTTAAGCGCAAAGAACCCCTCTGGCTTTCTGCTGCAGTGACCTCCACATGGTCCCTGACTGACAGGCTCCTATCGAAGATGAAACCCAACTATATCTTTTTGCGTGTCTTTTTATGTTTCTGTTGTTTATTGTGAGGCCTGGGACATCAGCTCTACGAACTTAGATATGAGAGACCAACGTGTTGGATTGGATTCCGTCAATGATATCGAAGGCATTGTGTAGGATATAAAAGAATGGAGGGCTAAACAACGAACACTATGAGACAGAATGTCCCAACAGGATGATATCCCTGTCTAGTTTGGACTTTGGGCTACTTCGCAACTGGAGCCACAATTTAACCTTATGGTTGAACAGTGCTAACCGGAATTTGTACTCATAGGATTCCCATAATTGGGTTGTTAATCCTGCGAACTGCAATCCTGAAGGGGACAATTTGTAATGCAGGATGATAATGATGATGATGACGACGACAATAGTGACTTTTATATTACAGTGATTTCCCTTGCACAGAAGAGTTCCAAAACACACAATAGGCATGAACTTCCTCTTGATATCCTCTGAGATATTACGCCATCTTGATCCACAGTTGTGGAAGATTCTTAGCCCCAGACTTGTCCCCCACGTTTACGTGGACTCACAGATTAAATATTTGGAAAACAATCCTCCGTCATGCCACAGCAACACGCAAATATTTTGGAGACGGCATGTGAAAATCATAACGGCAATGAAAACATAGCTGTAATAACACAATTCTGGTCAATGTTTAGCCACAAATTGAACGAACCTGTTGGAGTAAGAATCCCAGGTCCGAATAAAGATGACACCTCCTTGGCGATGGCCGACTCTTAGGACTTGGTTAGGCAATTTATTAAACATGTTTAGGAAATGCATTAAGCATGTTGAAAATAATTTTCTTTTATGAAATTGCATAATTAATTGCTCAAATTTATGTGATGTTGCCATTGCGGTGATCCACGCACAAGGTTGGTCAGTCACGGTTTAGACACCAGTTTGTTTTGTCAGCAAAGCTGAGGTGTTCTGGAAGGAAAAATTTGTAAGTAAAGTTGATTTAGTAAAACCTCTCCGAGATTTAAACAAAAAATATGGGAGATCCCGTCACCAGAAAAAGTGCAGCAGTTAGCAGACTGAGGAATAATTTGAAGAAGAAAAGGGAAGCCCTGGCTGATCAGTTTGACTTCAAGATGTACATAGAATTTCACTTCAAGGAAGAGGTATGAATATCAAATGATCATTACTGTCTTATAATACTAATAGTTATATATTTATTTATCAGACTTGGCACAGTATAATAGAATTTGAAGAAACGGTGCCAAGAGATGGGCACTTATGCCTTTTTAGTAAACTAGAAATCAGCTATCAGCGTTTTATTACACACCAACACCCTGAGTTGCACATCTTAATTGGCTGATATTGCCCCAATCCATTATTCTTTATCAATGTTAATGGTACCTATTGGCACTGGAACTGTTTGCTGGCTGCCAAAGATAGGGACCTAGTGTCTGACTCTGTCAAAGCTTGATAATAGCTCCTCGGCTAAACAGCTTATTGCTTTGACCAGTCTTACTCTTAGTTATGGTATAAAGAAATCGGGATACAGTACACACAATTTTTGTCTGAAAATAGATAATATATACAAATTTCTCAGAAATTAGATTGGCAAATAGCACTCTTTATATTGGTAACTTACTAACTGATGGAGGAAAAAATAGGAGGGGAGGGGCGTGTCTGAAGGGGTTTGACTTCTTAACTTAACAGGTTCACTCCCAACCTTGGAGTGGAATATTTATTACAATTATTTCTTTCTAATGAGATAACAGTTCTGTTTCATCTCTTTGATAGTGAAATCCTCTAGTTTCTAATATATTTAATTTTTTTTTAAAGCAAGGGACCTTTTATTTTTCTTTAACAGTTTGTATCTCAGTTCTTTGCTAGTCATTATTGAATACCTTGTCTTTTACATTAGCTGCAAATAAGAGGGGGTTTATACACATTGTAGTAATAAATTCCACATAATTTGGAAGTTGTGAAAAGAAGGCGGCAACTGGTTTGCCAAAGAAAATGTATCAAGACAGAAATACTTACCAATGGAGACATATTACCTTGGAAAGTAAACATTTATGACCAGGTCAGACACACTAACTTCATAAATCAGAGAGGGGTGTAGACATGCTACTAAGAAAAGAATAACAAAGAAGTATTGTAACTCTAGATACGTCTACTGAATCACTGTGTCCCTCTACATATGAATCAAAGTGGTGTCTACCCATGACACATGACATGAGTAACACAGAAAAACCGTGATTGAGCATACATCCACTAAATCACTGTGTCCCTCCACACATGAATCAGAGTGGTGCTCCCATGACATATTATCATGAAATGAGTAACAGAATAACTGTGATTGAGCATACATCCACTAAATCACGGTGTCCCTCCACAGATGTGAAATATTGTAATTGCACATTCGCTGTGTGCATTCCGGGGCCCATTGTGGGAGAAAGTAAGAATAAACCCACTGCCTTCCCAACAAGCATGACTAATCTGGGCTTCCTTCAAAGTTGGATTGCGTATGCCTGTCAACCGTCTGCCTACATGTAAGCTAGATCTTTAAAGTGCACACCAATACTGGGGTTCTGGAACAAGAAAGTCCAGAGGTGGATGAACACTAGAACTTTGTGCTGGAATTGACAGCTGGTGAACACAAAGAAGTAATTGCATTTACTTACATTGAATCACGGATATGTCCCTCCCCATGCGAAATTCCATTGCCAGTCTCACATACCCTGATAGTTTACGAGATTGGAGGGGCGAAAGATAGTTCAGCGGCAGTAGCATGTTGGCACCAAGGTAGAAGAAAAGTTAGTCTTTAGGGATTTCTGCAGTAAAATGTACTTGCTAACTGAATTATGCAGTCAATGAAATGAACCCATTTGGCTTTTTTAAGCATGAGGAAAATGACTTGACCATGAACCTCCTATTGCCCCCTTCCACTATATATGTATATAGTTAGTTAGTTAGTCGACAGATTATCATCATCGCACATTGAACCATTCAGTCAGTAAGTGCTAAGAACCCCTTTTCAGTATCTCCCTCAGTGTGTAGGGGCTTATGACACAAATTCTATGTTGTTTTGCTATTCTTCTTTGGGCCTCTATGTAGATCTCTTGTCTGGCTTCACCCTATTTGATATGTTCAGTGTTGCAGATTCACAATCATTACTTGATTTGTTTAGTTGAGTCTCCTGTCTGAGGGCATTGAGTATATCAGTCCTGTCCATTGCTGGTCCATTTCCCATTTGAGCATCACTTGCAATTTTGTCAGCTTGTTCATTGCCCTTTACACCAGAATGCACCGGAACAAGTATGAAACTGATTTTTGTCAACAAAAATCTATTTGAGGACTCCACCCATTGGCTTTGTGTGCAACCCTTCTTGATCTTCTTGAGCATATTCATTGAGTCGCTGAGAATGCGTGCCCGGGTGAAAGTCTGTGCTAACCAGTCTTGTAGAGATTTTCCACTGGCAGATTTAATCATCATCATTGTTTTGTGATATTGATATGTCACATATGGCTTGCATCAAGTTCACCCATTCTGTTCTACCCTCACTAGTCTAGTATGCATCATGATAAAGCAGCCTGTCTCCTCTGCTCTCTCTCTCTCTCTCTCTCTCTCTCTCTCTCTCTCTCTCTCTCTCTCTCTCTCTCTCTCTCTCTCTCTCTCTCTCTCTCTCTCTCTCTCTCCTCAAGTCATTGTAGGGTTTTTCTTGCTTCTTCCACCTATTTTTGTTCCTATAGCAGTGCCACTTTTGTAATTCTTTGTACATTTCATCTGACAGATTTCTGACTACATAAATTTTACTCTAAGAATTAGTTAGAAAAGTCTTGAGCCTTAACAGCCTCATTAAAGTGAGTGGATTGGTTTTGATATCTGCTGTTTTGAACAAATACACTTTGTATGTTTCAGAAAAAGAAGAATGCACTGTTTGAGGTGGCAGAGGTCTTACCGGTGATGACAAATGACTATGAACACAGTATATTGCAGGGTGTGAAGGTAATCGTTGCAGGCAACCTCACTTCAGTACAACAAGCTGTTTGGGTGGCTGGTGTTAGTGAATGTGTCAGTCGGCCAGCTGCCACCTCTACAGTCAAAGCTAGCTACAATGGATCTTTTCACTTTGTCTCACACTCATTGCTCTCTTTATTAACCCATCTCTAGATGTAAATCTCCCACTTGTATTGCTGTATTCTTCTTCTTTGTTCACTGGCTGTATGTTTCTCCAGAAAGTCCTGGTTGTTCATTCATTTGGACTTTGGCTTTGTTCCATGTTGCATGTACATACGTTTCACTGGCTTATTTATGTGCAGTTGGTTGCTCCTTGCTGCTCGGGCAGATGCACTCTAACTTCAAATTAAGCCCCCAATTATTTGACCCCTACAGCATGCTTGTTGGGGGGAGGGGGCCCGGATTGCTGTCTACTTTGTGCTCATTTGACTTTGACATTTCTGCAGTATGATTTTTTTTTTTAAGATGTATCTTTTAATGGGGCAAAATATTTCGCTTAAATTTTGCTGTCTACTTTGTGCTCATTTGACTGACATTTCTGCAGTATGATTTTTTTTTTAAGATGTATCTTTTAATGGGGCAAAATATTTCGCTTAAATTTTTTAAATTTTTAAATGTGTTTATTTTAACAGACCTCCTTCAATTCCAAGTCTCTCCAAAACCTGTACTATTGATTTCATGACATAAAACCTATTCTCCTGTATGAGTATTCACATTTTATGACATAAAACCTATTCTCCTGTATGAGTATTCACATTTCATGACATAAAACCTATTCTCATATATGTATATTCACATTTTATCAAATGAAACCTATTCTCCTGTATGTATATTCACATTTTGTGAAATAAAACCTATTCTCCTTCTTCTTCTTCTTCTTCTTTCGTTCGCCTGAAATAAGTTATCTATATCAGCAGTTTTGTCTCTTGTATAAATTTCACTGTCGTTGTTAGTTCATTCAGTGGTCCATAGAGTTTACGTTCCACTGTTGTTCTTTCTGGCCAAAAGGTTTGCCTTAATGTGTCAAATTCGGTGCAGTCCTGGAGTACATGCTCTGCGGTCTGGGGCACATTTCCACAGGTGCACATGGCTGATACACCTATCTTGAATTTTGTGAACATGTGGTTACGTAATCGGTTGTGCCCTGTTCTGAGGCGGAAGATAATGACTTGTTCTGGTCTGTCCATAATAAAATAGTCGTCTTGTGCTGGGGCTGGTGGTTTCCTGATCGATTTAATGATTCTTTTCTTTTGGTGGTATGTGACTGGTACATCTGGCTGCTCTTTTTTCGCACCTTCCCCTGCCAGTTGATCAGCTTTCTCATTTCCAGGCACTCCACAATGAGACGGTATCCACTGCATTACGACTCTTCGCTGAACGCTGAGTTGTGTCAGCAGTGTTTGCAATTCTGGTAGTTTCCTAGACTGGAGTGCTTCAAGTACTGATTTAGCATCTGTAAGCATTACCACATACTGTGAGCCAAGGTTGGTATTTAGCAGTTTCTCTGTAGCTATCTTAATAGCCTGGGTTTCTGCATCGTAGTTATGGCAGTACTTCCCGGTTGGTACGCTGGACTTATCCCTAGTACCATCTGGGAATTCGATGTACACTCCAGCACCACCATTTCTAACTGCACTTTCTGCGGACCCATCTGTATAGACTCTGACCCATTGTTCTTGTGGGTATTCTTCATCAATATAACTGAGGGTGGCCATTTTGCGTTGTACACTATCTTGCTCTTTCTTGTCAAATATCCCTTTCACATTTGTCTGGATTTGTACCGTTAGTTTACATTTTTTCTCTCCATGGGGTTTGTTCCGGAATACTTTTTAGTGGGCAGCCAATTTCTGGAAGGTCAGGAGTTTGTCTACATATTCTTTTTGCTTGGTGTATAAAGCTGCTTCTTTTTAACCGTCCCAAGGCTAGGTTCTTAAATCTATTTTCCATCGGGTGATCTGGCATACTGAGGAACTTTTCAGCTTGTATTTGCAACTTTGTATCTCTGCGTTCTCTCAGTGCCTGTGTTTTCCCAGCTTTCTCCATTTCTAATTTGGGGGGTTGATTTCATCCCTCCTGTGATGACTCTGAGCGCTTGATTTTGCACTTTGTCTAACTCCTTTAATGTGGTACTAGATGCTGAACACCATGCAGTTGACCCATATTCCAAGTGTGGAAGTATGCTCTGCTTGTATACTTTATTGAGTATTTTCCCATCTGCTCCCCATGTGGTTCCACTTAGTTTTCTTAGTATTGCTGTCTTCCTCCTGGCTTTGGTTGCTGCCTTGTTGATATGTTTTCTCCATGTCAACCTGTCATCAAATGTGACTCCTAGGTATGTGGGCTCTTTATCATCTCTCAGGGGTATTTCGTTTATTTTGATGGTGCCAGCTTTTTGCTTTGGGGAGAGGGTGAATAGTGTGGTGCTACATTTGTCTGTGTTGATGCTGACACACCATCTATTGGCCCATGCCTCAAGTGCATTTGTAGCCCGCTGTAGTGTTTTTGTGGCTATCGTTGCATGTTCATTGGTGCACCACAGTACCAGGTCGTCGGCGTACATTGCCATTTTGATTCCATTTGGTATCTCGGCAACCAGATCGTTGATAAATAAAAGGAAAAGTGTGGGCGACAGGACACCACCTTGAGGGACGCCTTGTCGCAGTAGAACTTTTTTACTTTTAAAAAACCATCTACCTGTACCCGGGCTCTTCTGTTATGTAGATATGCTTTAATCCAATTGTACATTTTTCCATTTATTTTATAGTTTCTCAATTTCTTCAAAAGCCCCTCCTTCCAAACCTTATCAAAAGCTTTCCTTAAATCTATCCATGCCGCGAGTACCAGTTTCTTATCTTGAAAAGCATCCTCTATTTCTTGGGAGAGGTATGTTGTCTGGTCTTCCGTAGAATAGAACTTTCTAAAGCCCGCCTGCTGTGGTGTAATGATGTTTTCACTTTCAATGTACCACTGTAGTCTGAGGTTGGTGATGCACTCCATTGTTTTACAGAGACAACTTGTGAGGCTGATTGGTCTGTAGTTGGAAGCATTAGAACTGTCTTTCCCAGGCTTTATGAGGGGTATCATAATTGCCTCTCTCCAGATCTGTGGAACATTCCCTGTTGCCCAACAAGCATTAAATATCTGTAAAAGCTTTGTTTTGGCTACTTTTCCTAAGTTTCTGATCATTTCGTTTGATATACCATCTGCTCCTGGTGACTTCAGCATTTTCAGCTTTGAAATGGCCAACTCCAGTTCATTAAGTGTAATTGGCACCTCTAGCGCCTCTGATGTTATTTCTTTCTGACTTCTAAATTGTGTCTTTTCTTGAATTTCGTGTTTTTTCTCTGAACTGATTTCAATGTCGTTATCTAAAGCAAAAGTGTCAGCAAATAGGTTGGCTGCCTCTTTTCCTGTGACCATGTTTCCATCTTTCTGCAGCGTGATCTTTGAGTTCCACCCTGTGTCTTCATCATTAATTTGTTTCACAAGCTTCCATAACTTTCTTGTGTCTTTTTCAAAGTTCAGCGACCTTGTTTTCTCCTGCCAGCTTTCCCTTCTAACCTGCAGCTTTGCCCTTACAAATTTTGCTTTTGCATGCTGGTAGTTATTGTGATGTTCTTGGTTTGGCCTGGTCTCTGCTATCTTTCTGGATGTTTCTACTTCGTTATGTAAATTTTCTAGCTCATTACTCCAGTATGGCTTATAATGCTTACGGGCACCTCTTGGTATTGATTCTCCTGCTGCCTTTAGTACGCATTTGTTAAATTCTTTAACTACTTTGTTTATATCCTGGTCTACGCTGAGATTTCCAAGCAGTATACTGGTACGGTGTTTGAACATTGTCCAGTCAGCCTTCTTGTAGTTCCACCTTGGCAGCGTACTAGTTTCTCTGACCTTCTCATTTTCTACATTCAGGAAGACCGGTCGATGGTCACTGCCTCCCAGTTGATTTCCAACAACTCGTTTAATGTTCCATTCCAGATCTGGAGAGTGAAATGCTAGGTCTGGGGTAGTAGTGGTGTGCCACGACCTCGAGTAGAATGTGGGTGGATCAGTTGGCCTATTAATAAGAACAAATCTGTTCTCATCCTGCCACTCCTCCAGTTTCTCTCCTCTCTGGTCTATATGGTCATATCCCCAGCTTTGTGAGTGGCTGTTAAAATCTCCACATAGAATCATCTTTTCTTCCACTGAGATTGTGTCTAAAGCCTGGGGACGATCATTTGGGCAGTAATAATTGATCAGGTAGAAGTCTGCATTTCCAGTTTGTAGTTTCAGAATCTGATATTCTGCTCCCTCCATAAATACTTTAGTCTGGCTAGCAGTGATATTGTTCCTCACAAGAGTCAATATTCCACCCTTTTTCCTGCCTTTCCGGTCTGATCGGAAGCACTGATAACCTCTGATTTTGAAGACTGTGTCTTCAGTGAGGTGGGTTTCCTGTAGACAGCATATATGAATCTGTTCCTCATTTAGAATATTTTCTAACTCTAGCTTTTTATTTGTAATCCCCTCTGCATTCCAGTGCATTAATTTGACTCCTTTCTTAGTTCGGCCAGATGCTCTATTCTCACGTCCCCTGGCTCCACAGGACATTTGAGAAGGACCTCCAGTAATTTGGGTTGGGCCTCTTCGAGGCAGAGGGCCCGGCACTGCTCCTGCCTGAGAGTCCATCACAGGGCGAGCACCATAACGTTTTGCTGATATAGACATATTTCCATGGCGTGTATGCGTGGCATCCTGATTGCTGTGGTGCGCCTCTTGGCTGGTTGCCTCCGACTTCAGCACCTTGTTTTACTAGGGTAGACTGTGATCATACTCGAGGAGAGAAGGCTCATCCATTCGTCTTTCGCCTTTACCTCGTTTGTTGTCCCATCCAGTTTCCCGCTGGGGGTTGAGACCCCAACCTTCAACTGGATTGCTGGGAAGAACAGGGTCCACCACGTGAAGGTGAGGTAGGCTTGAGCAAGAGAGGCTAATAGACATTAAGAGTCTTGTATTGCGCATCATTGCTCCATTAGGACCCCACCTATTCTCCTAAATGTGTATTCACATTTCGTGACATTAAAACCTATTCTCCTTTATGAGTATTCATATTTTATGACATAAAACCTATTCTCCTGTATGAGTATTCACATTTCATGACATAAAACCTATTCTCATGTATGAGTATTCACATTGCATGACATAAAACCTATTCTCCTGTATGTATATTCACATTTTGTGACATAAAACCTATTCTCCTGAATGTGTATTCAGATTGCCTGACATAAAACCTATTCTCCTTTATGTATTTTCACATTTTATTAAATGAAACCTATTCTTCTATATATCGACATCTCCAAGGTCTCACTGTTTGTTCAGTGTGTACATAATTGCATACACAGCTAGAGAAAGTGACAGAAACAAAGACAGTGCCATAGGGAGAGAGAAAATGAGAGAGCAACCACACACAAAAATCAGTGGCAGAGAGACAGACGTGACGTGTAAACGCAGAGTGGGATTGACCATCAAGAAGATGAATGGGCATTTAAAAAAAAATTATTTGCTGTCCTAACATATAGTTTGGCTGCAAAGGATGTGTGCATATATTTGTTGCATTCATTTGTGTCCTAAACTTGCCTGCATTCTACAGCAGGTTATTTGAAACCACAGTGTTCCCCAGTAAACCTTATAACCCCATGTATAAAAGATCCCATGTATAAGGTGCACTGGTGCCTGTGCTTTGGGAGGGAGCCAAAGTTTTAGTGGACCAGAAAGTGAAAAAAAAAAAAAACTGCTGGCGTTAAATAGGACACATTAAGAAAACCTGAGAACAATATAACTAGAATATCTTCGCACTGGGACCCACAGGGGCATAGGAAAAAAGAAAGACCAAAAAACACACTGAGAAAGTAGCCAGAGAGTAAAGTTAAAAAGATGGTAAGGGCTTTATGTGATAGCGAAGGATAGAATGACTTGGTGTGAGTTGGTTAAGGCCTATGCTCTATTGGGGTTTAGAAAGACTGAAGAAGATTAGATGCACTTTGATTTTGAAACTGGAAATTTGAAGACAAAAATAATATGATTAAATTTTGTTTCATGGACCTGAAATACCACTTGTGCCATCCTTTGAATAACTTCTTTTTGCACGAGCATTTCTTCTTGTCTCATGCCAAACCATTTTAGTGGACACAGAAATTCTTCAATTTTCTCTCAATATCAGGCCATTTTGCCGACTTACATCTCATGACCTTCCATAGCATTTTCAGTAAGATATTTTTACCTGTAGTGTCTCATATTGTTTTCTCATTTAGAAGAGGACCACATTTCCGTTCAGCAGCACAATGTTCATTCACTTTTGTGCACTGCATCATTTTTAACTTGAACTCAGTTACTGCACACAAATCGTTTCTGAGACATTTATGGGCAAAAATCTAACCTTAAGTAAAAAAAATATGCAACGATGAGCATAAAGACAAGCGCAAAAACTATTTCAGCGGGAAAGAACTTTTAATTTTAGAATTCACCCCTTCCCCCGACTCGGCATTCTCTGGATATTTTCTAACAAATCATTTGGTAAAAGTCAACTACCATTGTACAAAAATAAAAAGGCTTAATTCATTTATGCACTTTCTGTTGGGTATCTGAACAGTAGACATTAAAATGCAGAGGTTGTGTGTGTAATTTCAGTGCTTGCTTTCTCTCTGTTACAGAATGACTCGTACTCCTATGAGAGCTCACGCGCATTGATTGAAAAGGATGTTGTTCAGTTTCATGCCCACAGGTGGCAGCCCATGAGACGGGTTAGTTGTTTTAATTGTACATCTGTTGTCATGTCTGGCATGCTACCTAAGCTTAGCAGCTACACTGCTCCCTTGGTAAACCCTTCGGAGACAGCCTTTTTGGAGTTTCAATGCCAAAAAGACGGAGCCTTCTCTTAGTTTACGCACACAAATTATAAAAAATAAAGCATTTAACATACACATAACTAGATATATTCATGTAGGAAATTGAATGAGCAAACATAATATTTTATAGACACTTCTGTAACATGATCCTACTCCTTTTTCTGCTCCAGCTATATTTTGGTTGCTGTGATGCAACAGTCTTTTTTGCCATTGTTGGGCACAGGTAACCCCACAAATAAAAATGGATGTAAAATTGCAGAACACATCAAACTTTCTCGAAAGCTGTCATTGAACAACCAACATGTGCAAGAAAGGTGAGAAGCAATCTGATTGACTGGTACGAAAACCTGCCAGCCAATCTCAAGGCTTGTATTAAATAGTTCCAACTGGTCGGCCAGGCTGTCATTTTTTGTTGTTGCTATTTTGTGTTGGGCCAATAAATCGGCTGCGTCGTCTCCAAAGGGTCAAATTCATAATTACAACATTCTTGGAATATATCTCATTCAGTCATTAGGTCAGTCAGTCCAAAGACTGGTGTTAAAGCTGATTGGCCATGTCTTTCCACTCTGTTTTACTATAATGAGTTCTCAACTCAGCATATGTCTCCCTTAATGTCTTATATATTTAATAGAGCTAGAACACGCTTGCTGACTCATTGATTATAGGTTTAAATCCCAATCTAAATTCTAGCTCATGACTCAAGGCAGAAAGAAAGCTCATTTTATGGAAACATCATTGAAATATAATGTTAATATAAATATTCTGCACAAAATACATGACAAGGACATTATATTAACAGTATAGGCCTGTGCAGCACCCATGCCAAACCAGCAGAAATCAGTTCACATAGCAGAAATCAGTTAACATTTAAGTTATGGCCATTCAACTAAGTTTACTCAGAAGCCAAATGGGAATTGTCACAGGCCAGAAGCCATAGTCCCAGCATAGAAAGATTGTTAATACAATACAATTGGCAGGTGATCCATAGACCACTTGCTCGGCCTCTGCAGGTTTGATTTGGCCCACCAGTTGAATAGCCCTGATTTAAGATAGCAGGAAACTGCACGCAGAGCACAAGCAGTTAACACTATAGTATTACTGATTATGTTCAACTAATGTTAATGCTGGGATGCAGGGAAAATGAAGGCAGTACTAATTAAATTTTTGTGCAGGTAACCAGTATGTTATTGGTGGAAGTATTTTTCCCCATAAAAGAATACACAAGGCAACATGGGAATCACCAGACCATAAGACAACTAATCAAATTGACCACATATGTATTAACAAAAGGTTTAGATCATCCCTTTACGATGTTAGGGCTTTCAGAGGTGCCGATGTATTTACTGACCATTTCCTGGTGATAAGTAAAATCAAGTTGAAACTAAAAAGATATATAACATCTTATAATCATAGAAACCAATATAATGTAGGCTTTCTCAGAGATAAAGAAATTAAGGAACAGTTCTCAGTTACGGTCTCTAATAAGTACCAGGTGTTGCAGCAGTTAGCTGAAGATGTCAACACAGAAGTCTGCTGGGATCAGATCAAAGGAATCTGGAATGAATCTTGCGTAGAAGTTCTTGGCATGAAAGAAAGGAAACATAAAGCATGGATAACACCAGAAACCATTAAACTGATTAAAGATAGGAAAAGTAAAAAAGGCAGAATTAAACAATAGCAAAACTAGAGCTGCTAAAGCTAGAGCTCAGGAGAATTACATAGAAGCCAACAAGGAAGTTAGGAGGCATATAAGGGCAGATAAAGTGAAATATCTAAATGATCTAGCACAAGAAGCGGAGACAGCAGCAGCAAACGGAAACCTCAGAGAACTTTACAGTAACACAAGAAAATTAGTAGGTAAATATAGTCAGCCAACTGGATCAATCAAAAATAGTCAAGGAAAGGTACTTACTAACACTAAAGATCAAATGGACAGATGGGTTGAATATTTTGAAATGCTTCTAAATAGACCAGGCCCAGAGGTTCCCTCAGATATCCAGCCTTTAGAAATGGAACTGGATATCAACTGTGAGATACCATCCAAAGAGGAAATTAGAAAAGCTATAAATCTTCTTAAGGAAGGAAAGGCGTCAGGCCCAGATGGTATCCCAGCTGAAGCCATCAGGACCAACATAAACACATCAACAGAATTGCTACATAGATTATTCAGTAAAGTCTGGGAGACCGAAGAAACACCAGCAGACTGGAGAGAAGGATATCTTGTGAAACTGCCCAAAAAAGGTGATCTACAGGAGTGTGAAAACTATAGAGGAATTATGTTGCTGTCAGTTCCTGGAAAAATATTAAGTAGAATCATTTTGGAAAGATTAAAAGATGCTATTGATAAAATGCTAAGAGATGAGCAGGCAGGTTTTCGGTCAAACAGATCCTGTACTGATCAGATAGCCACATTACGTATTATAATAGAGCAAAGCATTGAACTGAACTCACCACTTTACATTGGATTTATAGACTATGAAAAAGCATTTGACAGCATTGATAGGGATAACCTAATGTCGATATAAATACAATCTTTATACCGACATTAGGTTATCAATGTCAGACTTGGACATTAACAAAAGAACATGAGAGAAGACTAACCACCTGTGAAATGAGATGTTTGAGAATGGCTGTGAATAAAACCAGAAGAGATCGAGTGAGAAACGATGTGATTACAAGAACTATTGGAACCATACCCATCGTTAAATTTATTGAGAAGCAAAGAATGAAATAGTTTGGTCACCTAATGAGAATGGAACCAACGATGCCAGCATCAAGAGCATACAACATGAAAATCGAAACAAGAGGCAGGGGAAGACCGAGAAGAAGATGGATTGAAGGAGTCACGGACAACTTGAGACTTCATAACATCACGGCATATGAAGCGACTGAGCGCGCCCTGGCTCGGTTGCCGATCATCTGATAGACTGCGACGCCTAGCGGCACAAGCAGATTTTGACAAAAGAAGAAGATAGGGAATCTCTCTGGAAATTGATGGGGCACTATAGAATCTCACAGAAAATTATCAACTTAGTAAAGGCAACATATAAAGACATGAAATGTCGAGTTCTTCATGAGGGAAAGCTAACAGATGCATTTGAAATAAAAACAGGTGTGCGACAGGGATGTCTTTTGTCACCTCTCCTATTTTTACTGGCTATAGACTGGACTATGAAAACAGTAACTGCTAACACCAAGAATGGAATTCAGTGGACCCCTACAAAACAGCTTGATGATCTGGACTTCGCTGATGATATTGCCCTTCTGTCCCATTCACGGAATCAGATACAAGATAAATTAAATATACTTAATGCGAGATCACAGCAGCTTGGTCTGAAAATCCATAAAGGAAAGACAAAGATAATGAGAATAAATCAGGCAAATAGTAATGTGGTTTCTCTTAATGGCACCCCACTCCAAGACGTGGAGTCGTACACCTATTTGGGCAGTAATGTAGATAAAGATGGAGGAACTGATAGAGATATTAAAATGAGAATACAGAAGGCAAGAGGGGCTTTCATAGCACTAGGGAATTTGTGGAGGTCAAAAGAAATACTAAACTAAAAATTTTTCATACTATTGTATGGGGCGGAAACATGGAGAACAACGAAGGCAATTACTAATAAATTACAGACATTCATTAACTGGTGCCTGCGCAGAATAGAGGGAATAAAATGGTATGATAGAATAACTAATGTAGAACTTTGGGAGAGAACTAAACAGGCTCCAGTGGATCAGGAGGTGAGGAAAAGACGCTGGCGTTGGATAGGGCACACACTGAGAAAACAGGAGAACAGCATAACTAGAATGTCTTTGCATTGGAACCCACAGGGGCATAGGAATAAAGGAAGGCCAAAAAACACATGGAGAAGAGAGCTGGAGAATGAGGTTAGAAAGATTGGGAGGACATGGGGAGAGCTCCATGTAATGGCGAAGGATAGAACGGCTTGGCGTGAGTTGGTTGAGGGCCTATGCTCCATTGGGGGATAGAAAGGCAGAAGAAAAAAGACTAATTAAATTAAGAAAAGCTACATCACACAATCATGAGACAAGAGACCAAGCAAGATAATGTATCCAATTTTTTAAGAAAGCGCCACTGGAACAATTAGCTATGCACTCTGAATGGATAAGACAAAACATCCCTTTCAAGCCTTCATATGGACACAGGAAGGAAAAAAAGAGGGGGGAAGACCAAGAGAGACTGCGTAGAACCATCATCAGGGAAAGCTCAACCATGGGAGTAACAAACATCCAAGACCTAAAACAGGTGGCAACGAACGACTGGACATGGTGAGCAATGACCTATGCACCGCCTTAGGCTCAGCAGGAAAGACTGACTAACATCACACAATCGTACGAAGACATAAGTGTAAAACACAGGGTAATGAATCCTTCAGCAGCTTGAGACATGTGTTACCAGCACCAAATCTTCATAGTCCAGTCAGCAGTGGGCGATTTGATCAGGAATATGTGTCTCACCTTTATTTCCCTGGTATCCATTTCAGGCTGGGTTGACCAGGAAGCCTGAATCATTTCTTCATGTATATCATTAAACATTCTGGGGGTCTCTGTGGCGAAGTGGTCAAGCTGTTTGCCTTACGCTTTGAAGGTTGTGGATTTGTTTCTTAGTTGCGTCATTCGGTTCACAAATACAGTTTTTAAGGACATCTTGAAGTTCTTCACAGGGCTACAGAGTTTGATGCTCTCTATAGACAGCTAGCTATTCTGCAGAGAGAGACCAAGCCAATTGGGATAAAATAGAGAGCAGTGAAGTCAGTCCTCTCACCTTTAAGGTACCTAACATGAGTCATTGTTATTCATCTCAATCAGCCTTTTATTTTGTCTTATTAAATTGTATTTTGTTATTTTCAATTCTCCTACTTTCTATGATATGTTGTCTGCCTTGTAGAAACATTAATGACCTGTGCCTGTTGATTGTCAGCAACATGGAAACCTTGTTATATTTTAGGATGTGATTGGCTGTACCAGTCAAGTTGATTTCTTTCTCTGGCCAAGAAATGATATTGAAAGCATTCAGTGCCATTTATATTCCCGGTGGAAGGGTGAAAACTCACCTTATCGACTTTTAAATGTAAGTAGCATCTTTGTGTGTGTGTGGATAGAAGATTTGTACAATTACCGCTCATATAATGTTACTGTTTGGTATTCTTCTACTTCTTCTGCATTCACTCTTAGAAGGGCAGCTCTTACATTGTGTTGTGGTTTACAGCTAGGCTGCTATATCTGCTTTTCATCGCACCACGGCTTATTTAAGTGAACCCTTAATTAATCGCCTTTATTATCATGCCTATTAAAGGTATGGTATTCCAGACTATGCTTTTTCTAACCCTTTCAGTGCCGAAGAAGGTAATGTTCTTGCTGTCTTCTGTCACATACAGGTGTTATGTTAACCCAGTGTTTCTGAGAATGATTAGAATGACTACTTTTGTTCCATTATCGTCGAACATATCCAGACTTATGTATTGCCTTAAATTCAACTCCTTGGTATAGAAGGGGAATAAAGCAGCAACTGTCTGGTTCTAAACTAGTTAATAAAGAACAAGTGGGTTCGGTGTAATACTTTTTCTGTTGCCCTCTAATCTTCCAATAGAATGTAAGTCGTTTATCAGTTTGACTCAAGTCATCATATGCAGATCACCAGTATCCTCCGCATTTTATTCATCATAGTCTCTGATTATCTTCTCTGTGTTTATTTTTTTCTGCAGCCCTGTGGGTTCCGGTGCAGAGACTGTCTAGTTATTTTATTGTCAATTTTCTCATGCTTGTCTCTCATTGCATGTTCTTGCTGTTGGCAGAATTTATTCCTGGCCTCTTGATTCACAGGGGTTTGTTTTAGTTCTCTCTCAAAATGCAGCATTTATGATTGTTAGACTTTTATTCTAAATGTTTTGTGCGGATACCACTTAGTGAATGTTCGTAATTTATTAGTAATTGTTTTAATTATTCTCCATGCTTCTTCTTTGTGTACAGAATACTGATTTATTGTTAGAGTTGAACGTTTGACACTAACTTGAGTAATTTCTTTTGACTTGCATCAGTTTTCCTGCATTGTGAAAGCACTTCTTGTCTTTTGTATTAATATTTTTATATTTCTTTTTTTTCCTCTGTTTTTCTCAAACTCAAATTTGGCATGATCTCAACATATACTGGCGATAAGGAATTAGTAATAACAACTTTCTCAAACTTAATGATTACTAGATAAGAAAATTCAGATATTTGTTTACATTAAAATCCATATGTTACAAACAATATAAACATCAGTTTATTTTTTTTTTAATTCCCTGCTTTGTTTTTTGTTCAGGCAGAGTACATCTTTCGTAGTGATGAATATGAACGCCAGTTAATGCGACTCCTGACCGTGCGTGACAAAACTGGACTCATAGTTACAAACTCAGACCACACCGTTTTCCTGTTTGTTGACAAACAACATCTCCAGGTAATCCTGTCATTCATTGTGTTGTAATGCTGGGAACAAATTACATGACTAGACACAGTGAACGAGTATTGAAGGACCCTATTTTACCTCTTCAGGCACATTGAGTGTTTGGTGCAATCTGATTTGTTTTTTTTTCAATAGAATAATGAGCTCCTGTTATGGTTATGTTATCACAATCTGCATCATGGCGCATTGGGCATTGCCACGCATGCTCACTCTTCTGATGCAGCGTCCACTCCAAGGTGCTTCTACTAATTGTTCTCTTAAAAAGTTGGTTATGATGTCTCCTATCTTGGTCTCAAAGGCGGCATAGACATGCTTCACCATGCTTTACTCCCATGTCATCCAGTCATATTAGTGTAAAAGATTCGCCTTTATCCACTTGCCCAGTCCGTACAGCATTGATGATATCTGCTCTGTCCATGCTTCTTCCCACACATGTTGGTGCATTGCTTGCTAGCATGACCAGGTGTGTAGATCCAGGTGAGGGAGGTAAAATGCGATTTTTGAATGATTTCTACCCTTTCAGAGCGCATACCACCTGTTGCTATTTTCTGAAGCATGTTCATGGATTCTGATACAATTCTGCATGTGTGGCTGTTTGGTCTATTGCCCATGAGGTGCTGTAAAAGCAGCAGCTGTCTCCAAGGTCATGCTTTACGAAGTTGCCAGATAAGCGACGCTGTCCTCTTGTATTGTTTTCCCCATCCTTTCCCTGCGCTTCACGGATCCATCTGTGTAGATGATGATATCTTCTGGGTGTGAATGCCCTTACCACGGTGTCTACAGCCGCAGGGGTCTGAACCCTGCAGTACCTTCCCAGTGTGTAGACAACCTTAGAGATGCCATGCATGTCTACTGGTGCATTCCTCCATTCTTTTCCGTGACTGATCTCATCTAGGTCACATACCAGCTGGATTAAATCTTCAACCTTGGCCATCCAGCAGCTCTTATTGTGAAGTGGTCAACATCATGCTGACTGCTTTTACTTCTAGGAAATTTACTGGAACCTATTTTAGACTGGTAGCCCAAGTCATTTTTAAAATCACTGTTGACCAGTGGGCACTTGATGTGTGATGTGGTCATCATTACTTTATGCACGATTAAGGATAAATTATTATTGAAATAAAATTATTTGTTAAAACTGACATTTCACTCTAAAAATGATTAGTATAAATTACTGATGAGACCAGTGGGGCATAAATCATGTGGAAATTAAACAGAAATGTGTTGTCCCAGTGCTAATACTCTAGCTGTTTCAGTTGGGACTAGGTATCGGACATATTCTTTTTCTGTCTGGTTAATTGAATAAAATTCCACAGAAGTAATATATGTTATTTTGCTGTTCTTGAAATGTAAACTGCAAAATGTTATATGCGTAAACAGTTTTCTGAAGATTATTTTCCGGTTCACAGGGCATAAATGTTTTAGTACCAAGCAGATGTACTTCAACTGCTTGTATCCCAAGATGAGTTGTGATTAGAAGCAGTAAATACTTGTGTCTTACAAAATTTAATGGATGTGTTAAAGTATTGAGGGTCAACTTTGTTCCTCCTGGTTTGATCCCACATGGCTCCATGTCTCTCTACACAGCAGCTAGCCACCTGCTGAGAGTTGCACAAAGTATGAACACTGCATCTCCGGTGATGACCCCCAGAGATCTCCATAAAAATTGCACTCATGAACCGAATGCACAGTCATGAAACAAACTCTTGACGTTCAAAACGTGTGGCAAACGACTTAACCACTTTGCCTAAGATCCCAAAATATAGCAACACTTCAGAGAAGACTGTAAACTAATAATTCAGATACAGTGGATTGAATTAGCGTCTGTCTGTGAAACAAGAAAATTATATCTGGAAACACCAAGAAGTGCATAGTAAGTTTGGTACTGGAAAAATTGATATTGTAGTATGGAAGAAAAAACATAATTGAGGTTTAAATCAGTTGAAATAATTTATTTTTGTTTGACCCTGTTGCTCAGGCTGATGTCATTTCTCTAGAAGAGCTGCGTTCCCAGCTGTAATAAGTGGTTTGTATTTCTACTCGTTGTCTAGGCAGTGTTCATGCGTGTGTGGTGGATGATATTCTCACACGCTCCACGTTACACAACTGGCACAAGCCGACACCGATGTGAGCTTACGAGACATGACTTTATTGACGTATTAACACTTACGAAAAACGAATAGTCCAGTCGGTGTCCTAGTGAACAGCTTTCTTACACAAACTCACGCAGCCTTCAACGAACAGTCTTCTTCAGGCATTCAAGCAACGATGGGTCCCATGGATTCAACATTGATGTTTGGACATCTCACATGCTGGCATGGTCGATCTCAGCTTAACACTTCGTCGGCAGGTCTCCTTTCTCCTCAGGCACTCACGTAGACATTCTCACATTCAGTCGCTCGTCCTCTCACTCCAACAGGTCGACACACACTCAACTTGACCAGAGTCAAGTCTGACTTATACCACGGGTTCGTTTCACGTGACAACACGTGGTGGTCCTTTACTTTTCCCGTGGCGACCTTGGGTCGCATCATCGTGGTCCCCGTGAAAACTAGTGTTTAGTCACCTATCTCCAGATTCTCGTTTAATCCAAGTATCTGGACTACCTCAGTGTTTTCGGTCAGCTTTGGGCTTTCCCCCCCAACCATCCTAAACTGGGTGAAAATATCCCCCATTGCACCAGCTGACTAAGATGGGTTTTTTTAAAAAAAAAAAGCTTATAGCTATTTAACATTGTTATCTCTCTATTCCAGACCAACAAAATAAAATAAGTATTTAATATTGTTAGTATCTTTCCATACCAGACCGACATAAATATATTTAGTATTGGTTTTTTTAATTATCTCTCTATGTCAGAACAACAAAAATAAAGTTGTTTTCATATTTTGATTATCTTTGTTCCAGACCAACAAAAATCAAGTGCTGGTTTACAAGTTACACAGCTTGTGCCTTTACATGCCTCAGGTGAGTTCACTCTCTTACAGTTGGGGTTTCAGCCTTTCAAAGCTTTGTTCAGTTCTCGCCTGCTCAGTATGTTTTGAGTCTCTCTAAGCAGTGAAAACATTTGACCTATTATGGCAATTTGTTTTTGTTTTTCAGTTGGCTGATGCATTTTCTCCCATATCTGGTTTGAAAGTAAATATTTCCACAGCACAGCTACTGAGTTAGGTGCATGACATGATACTGATATACGGGGACCGCGCTAGCGCAGTCGATAAGAAGCTCGCTTTCAAATCCAGCTGCGACACGCTGCAGCCCACGGTCGTTGTTCGAAACCGGGTGGCTCTCGGGGTTCACCCAGCCTCTAGGAAATGGGCACCAGAGTTGACACTCTGGGGTCAATGGAGGAATGTCGATGTAGCTACAGAGTTACGTGCGAACGGCGACACAGGTGGATAATTCTTATCAGCTGTCCGTACTGGTTGCAGAGCACTTATAGTTTATAAACATGTGCAATGACGCTGGTTTACATCTCCAGACTTAACCGTTACACGATACTGAGCTGAGGATTTAATTTTGGATAATTTTTTTTTTACCGTGCCCAAGGTGGTTTGTCTTGTGAACTGCAGATTGAGAAAGAAAGTGGGGAGTGGCATTTAACCACAGAACTGTTGGGGGCTTCTGCAATTAATAACGTGTTGTAATTATAGCTTCAATAGACAGTGAACTGCAATTCTAATAGCGAACTGTTTGTGTTGGCACTTCTTATGCATTTAATGTTTGTGTATATTGTTGAATTATTGAGACTACAGTCGGTGTCAAGTTTTTTGCAAGGAACAGTGATGGAAATTCCATGTTGCTTTTGTTGGTACTGAAATGGAGGAGCTATCAGATGACCAGTTTGCTGTAAAACTGGGACTGGGATTAAGTTGATTCAAGAACTAACATCACAGCACCACAGTTTGCATTTTACTTTTGGGGGAAAAAAACACATCTAAAAATAAAACAAACAATATCTAGAAATATCTAGATTTTACAGGTGAAACATTTTTTTAAAAAAGTTTAAACATCCAGATGGAAAAAGTAAGAAATTACGTTCAATGAATGAATCAAATTTATACATCACTGCACTCTGGACATTCCCACACACGCTCCATCCCCTTCTTCAGTAGCCAACGAAAAGTCGACATCTTAACAGCACCATTTGCAACCTCATTAAAAGTCAGATTAATTTTCTTAAACTGACATTCTGCTTCTGCCCACAATGTTACCAGTAGCCCCTAAAAATGTCATAACTTTGCAACATTTGTGTTTGTCCTTTGCCTGCAGCAGTATGTTGTTCACAGAAAAGATTCAAATATTTTTCAGTACTTCTACTTTTTCAGGAAGTCATTGCTTCACTTGTTTGAATAATGAGACAAGAAAATCTTAACATCTCTTTCTAAAGTTGTTCTCTTCATTTTCTGTTAACAGTCCTTGCATTTTTTAATCATCAATTTTGTTTTATCTGTTTGGTATCCAGGGTGTGGATTAGAATCCAAAAAGCTCCATTTAGTGATTCATTATTTTTTGTAGTTCTAAAAACAGAAGTCATTGGTGTTATATTTCTCAATGGCACTGCAGTTTTATGCTTTTTAGTCTCTGCACGACTGTTCATCTCTCTGCATGACTCTTGCAGTTCTTAAAACGAGCCTTAGTCGCACCCCTGGGAACTGCCATTACCCAAAATATGTCATCCTGCAGCGGCCCTTCCCGAATTTTTTTTTCATATTGCTTCACTTTTGGAACATTGAAAGGTTTTGTGTGATCACAAAGTGGGCATCACAGCTAAACACAAAATTTGTAATAAATATTTTATACAGTAATTATTGAACTGACACTAAAAAATATAAAATATCCAACTCCAGTTAAAATATCTAGAATTAGATCTAACATCTTAAGGTAAAAGAAAAAAAACGAACACAAGCAAAGACATTTAGAATGGCAACAGCACTCAGGGCATTCTCTTAAATGCTCTGTCTCCATCTTCAGAAGCCAGTGCAGAATTTCAGTAACAGTGGTGACAGTAGCAGTCTCATTATATGTCCGTCATGCCTTTCTTTGAGCGTTGAAAATCAGCCGGATCCCCTTGTCACTCCTCACTGTATCAGTCTTGCCAGACTCATGATCAGTTTGCTCCTCCGATTGTACACATGCTCTCATAATCCCTTAAATATGTCTGCCTTAGTATGCATCAGTATTCTATCAAGTGGTGCAGAGCCAGCCAGTCTGTCCACCTTGTTCATGTCCAACACACCAGCATATCACAGAGAAAAGATCCAGACAATGCTGTTCACCCATTACTTCTGAAGCGAAGCATGCCTGTGCTCACTTTCCTCAGCATGCTTTCTAGGTCAGTTACAATCATGATGTGTGTATATATATAGTGCTTTCTAGCCAGCAGAAAGCTGCACACTGCCTCCACCTCTGTTCTTAAGCTGGAAATTGTATCATATGCTAGGCTGTCCTGCACCAACAGTTAACCGTTAACAATTGGGTTAAAACACTGGGCTCTTGTTTCAGGAGACCCATGTTTGAATCTTTTTTATATGTCTGGGGCAAAATAAACAATAAAGATCTAAGTCTGTACAGTTTTTTTTAGATCAGTTTAAACACACAACTGTAAATCCTTTAAAAGCTCCTCTCTACCCCCCTGTCACATATCACTCATGTCACTTGCCTGATATAAGGATTTCTCCTTCAGAACCAACAGCACACAGAAATAATTATGTATACGATATAAGGGACTATATACCTTTCCGGACGAGTCCAAGTTTGAATGTTGTGTCGAGCCCAGGTAAGACAGGTCTCGACTCTGTTAGGGTGATGCGTAATGGCTTATCATTCCATGACAGTACCCCCCCAAAGGGAAGAGCGTACTACGCGAATGAACAATGATCAGCCATCTACACATCTATGGGCTCACCACTCTCAGCTTGCTCATCACCTTTAGTCTGTGAATTATCAGACAAGGGATGGCGGCTCAAGAAATCTGCTCTGAATCAAAGGGTTGACCAAACCAACCTCTCAGAGACAGATGAAATATATACAATAATGACAATTCATGTGAAAATAGAGAAACCTATGCCTACTATACAACCTAATCAAAAAGGAATCTATAAAGACTCAGTAGATGTCCCTGAGGACCTAAGACTCTGATAACTCCATCCATGTATCACTGATCCCTGCCAGGTACATGCAAAGATGTAGGATCAGACCGAACCCCCCCCCCCCCCCCCCCCCCCCCCCCCCCCCCCCCCGATCGGGTTGGCTGAATAAACCTACACACCATCCTGGTATTCCTGTCATATTCAGGTAATATACCGGTGTGTCTCCTACATCAGTAGTCACACAGGAAGGTCGTCATGGCATGTGGGATATAATCCCTCCCGTCTGATCCTTCGCGAGGTTCGGAAGGATTATCCTCCCCTCGTCACTATGTGCTCCAACAAACACAGGAAGGAACCCTGGTGTGAATTGAAAATTCTTCACCTTCTGGTCCTCCTGATGGTCTGGAGGTTGCCTCCATTCCTCTTTAAAAAGAGGAGCTTGCACAGGGCATTGACGGAAAGGCTCAACAGGAACCAATGTCGTATCATACTCCAATAATGAAGTTTGTCCTGGCTTAACTCTCAGGACAGAGTTATACTCTGACAAGAGTTGCTCTATAGCTTGTTTCTGAGAGACAGAGAGAGTTGGGTTAACCTCTACATCTTTATAGGTCTCCCTGGGATGAAGAGGATATTCCACAGCTGTGGCTTCTCCGCCTTCCACAGCTACAGAAAGTGTCAAGAGGGTCGGCGTGTCACTTACCTCTCTCTCGTTGTGTTTCCGGAGGAGATTAATGTGATAGACCTTTGACTTACCTTTAATGTTGATCTTATAATGGATCCTAGATATCTTCTCTACCACCGTATAAGGGCCTCCCCAAGCTAACTTAACTTCCCTGAGGGTAGTAGCAAAAGAACCCTATCTCCAACCTCAAGACATCGTTCCTTCGTCTTCCGGTTGAAATGTGCAGCGTACCTCTTACGTGCACGAATCAAGTTCTCTTTAGCCAGGTCCCACACTAGCTTTAACCTTTCCTTGAGTTCCTGCACATACTGTGATATGGTTTTCAAGGAATCATCTGCCCCTTCGTCTGTCCATGTCTTCCTGAGAATGGCCAAGGGTCCCGAAATGTGTCTTCCGAACACGAAGGTCGCAGGTGGAAATCCAGTAGAGGCATTGGGTACTTCCCGGTAGGCGAATAGTGCTGCAGACAGATACTCGTCCCACCTCTCTGGCTTTTCCTGGGTTAATCTTCTCAGAAGCGATACCAACGTTCCATTGAACCGCTCATTCTGGCCGTTCGCTTGGGGTCGGTATGGACTGGTGCAAATGTGTTGAGACTTGATTATCTGAAACACCTCCTCCATTAGTTTCCCTCTAAACTGAGATCCATTGTCTGTCAGTATCTGCGAAGGGAATCCCACTCTTGTGAAAATGCTCATCAATGCCTCTGCCACAGTCTTACTGTCAATCTTCCGAAGTGCAATAGCCTCCGGATAACCTGAACAACAGTCTACCAAAGTCAATATGTAAGCATTCTTCTTCTTTGTGAGAGGAAGTGGTCCCACCAAATCGACCGCCACCCTTTCAAAAGGTGTGGAGGTGACAAGGGTTTCCCCCAGTCCGACTGGTGCATTCCTGCCTTTGGGAGCTACCTTCTGGCACTCCGGACAGGATTTGACATAACGCATGATATCTGCTGACATACCTGGCCAAAAGTAATGACAGGCAATGCGTTGTGTCGTTGCATGAATTCCCATATGGGCACTATAGGCTATAGTGTGCCCCATCTGGAGAATCTGCTGTCTATATGTTTTTGGTACCACAAGATGACTGTGCTCTGTATACTTGTCACTTGCCCATCTGTAAAGTAACTTACCTTTCATGAAGAATTCTTTCTTCTAAGGGGGATTGTGACTTGCAGTTAACTTTTTAAAACATGCCTTAAGAGTTGGGTCACTACTTTGGGCCACCTTAATTTCTTCAGGAAGAGGATTTACATGAGGAGATTCCTCTGAGGCACTCTTATGCTGTGCTCGGGTGGTCACCGCAGCAAGATGCTCTGAAGGTTTCTTCGGCTCTGCTAAAAATACATAAGTAGCGCCAAGAATTAAATCAAAGGTACAGTGTTCAAGCACTGCAGCCTCAATTACCCCCGAGACATACTTTGAACGGACCCTAATCTTAGCAATCGGCAAGTTCAAAGATTTAGCATCCAATGTGGCACATTGGAGCTCTATGAATCTGCCAGTATACAGGTCAGGTTTTACAAACTCTGGCCTCACCACACAGCCGTATGACAATCCGCTGTCATAAAGACAATTTAAAAAATATCCATTAGCCCAGACCCTCTCTACAACAGGCGGCCTATTGGAACCATTGTACAACTTTTCCTGGGTAGAAGGTACTATAGTAGACAACAAAGCTGATACTTGTACACCCCCTGACTGTTTGGATTTACATTCCTTAGTCCAGTGGTTATTATTCTTACAAATATGACAGTAAGGCTTTTAAGGCCCATTAAAGGGTTGTCTATGTTGTGTTCCCTGAAATTTTGAGGGGTTCTGGGGTTGTGCTTGGGATGAATTCTTTTTAGGGGATTCATTTGGATGGGTTTTATGACCATTACCATTATTCCTCCCTTGGCCCTGGGGTTTGGGTTTCCCACCTATACACACCTCTTTATGTGCCAACTCATACCTCTCAGCATACATCAACATCTCACTCAGTCTGTCAGCACCATTCTCCGTCAGGAAGGTTTGCATAGGGCGAGGTAATGTCTCTCGGAGTTGTTCCACTAGGACCATCTCCTGTAAATCTTCAAAAAAAAGAGGAGTATCCAGTTATTTCCCTCCACCTAGTCAAATATCCCTAAAGGCGACTGGCGAACTGGGGATAGTTCTCCCCTGTCATCTTTCTCTCATTTCTGAACTTCTGTCTGTATGTCGCAGCATTAGGTTCGAAACGTTTCAGCAAAGCCTGACATAATGCATCATAATCAGTCTCAGTACCGGTGGGCATCCGTTGATAAATCTCGTATGCCTCACCCCTCAAATCTTGAGCCAACTTCAGCGTGTACATATTCCTTTCCAAATTGTACAAAGATGCCAATTTACCAAATCGGTCTAGGTACTGTTCATTATTTTCAGCCTTCGGGTCGAAGACTGGCATGGAAAGTTCATCGCTTGAGCTGAGCTACTGTGTGTTGATGCACCATCAATCTCAGGTGTTGGAGATCTGGGTCTATTACCCTCTCTCTGTGCCTGAAGTTCTAATTCTCTTAACCTCACCTCCTGTTCCAACTTCGTTCTTTCTGATTCCTGTTCCAATCTCATTCTTTCTGATTCCTGTTCCAATCTCATTCTTTCTGACTCCCTCTCAGACTCAATTCGGAGTCTTTCAGTTTCTTGAATCCTCTCAGATTCAATTCGGAGTCTCTCAGCCTCACGGGCTTCCATCCTCATCTCACGTTCCGTGGTTTTAATCCACTCGGTCATTTCTTTACCCTCCAATCCCATCTGGACAGCCATGTCCTTCAATTCCTGTATGGAAATTTTTGACTGCGACATGCTGTCTTGTCAATCTAACAGTCCACAACAAAATATATTGTCACCAACAATGTAAATATAATCAACAATAGATTAATTTATCACCACCAACCAAGGTTGTACCTAACCCAATGTACTTGAACACCACAAAACACCACAATGATTACAAATCACTCCTAGGAGTACATTCTAAGAACTGACCCAGAATGGTCACAACTGTGTTAACAACAAAATACAAACACTGAACAACCTCCTGGCCAAGATCACCAGCAAATTTAAAGATTGAACAGAGTTTACAAACAATCCCACGACGAGACCACAGATTTTTGGGGATATGTTGTTCTGTCACATATCACTCCTGTCACGTGCCTGATATAAGGATTTCTCCTTCAGAACCAACAGCACTCAGAAATAATTATGTTGAGTCGTTTGGCTCGTATTGGTCTAAGGGATTCCCCGTGGCCAATATACGCTCAACTTATTTCTGGAGTAGGGCAACTCAAGTATTGGCACTACAAAATATATCTGTATATGAATACAATATTCCTAGGCACACTTGGCTAGACACCCCCACTACTTACTAAAGAAAGCCCCCAGGTTATGATAGTTCATTATTCTAACCATGTTAACACATATATTTAAGATTCATACACACACAAATGCTAAACACTTGAAAAGGTGAAATAGAGACACCTAAGTCAGCCATGAAAATGAATGCATGTAATCAATACAACAAATACATATATAAAATAGTGAAGTAGATGCCAGATCTCAATAGCTGGATTCCAGAATACAATGTCCAGATTACAAAGATAACCAAACAGCCAGAAGGTCCTGGAGATGACACATTGTCATCCTTGGGAAACATGGGAGCTGTGGGGAATATAGCAAAACATGGCATTACCTGGCACTTATCCTCTTTCTATCTTTGATGCTTCCCTCAGCTCCTGATGATTTGACTGTCTTTGGTAATTCTGCCTCAACTGGATCAGATGGTGGAGGAGTACATCACCATAAAGGACACAGCCACTGGATAGGCACTTAACAACTCTCTCCCACTCGTCATTCGCAGCACTGTCCCTGAGCTACACACATGCTCTGGCACTGTAGGATGTTTGGGGTATATGGCACCCCATCCTGAGGATGTCAGTCTTCACAATTAGTAGTTGGGTGATAATTGGTAGGTAATAGGTTGATGGTTGGTTGGTTGGACTGTGATTCTTCTGCCAGCTCTTCACAAAGGTTTCATCCTGCCAAGAAAAAAACTCAGAAGTAGTCATCACCAAGAGGGTAACATCTTGACAGGAAAGACAGAATAAGTATCAGTCATCATCCCACATCAGCCTACTCCACCTCTGCTCCCCTGTTTAATTCCTCAGAGTGCACTCTCAAGACCAGGAGACACTGTCTCCTATCATTCATCTGTCTGTTTAGTGCAAGAGATGGAAATTCAGATATATAGTGGAGATAGATAGACACTCTAACACATATATCAATCTCTCTTCCCCCTCCCATCTGCACACAGACACCAATATTTACCGTCAGTACCTCTATTCCCTACGACTCTCAAGCCAGTCCCACACATTCATTGATCTTTGTCAAACTCACTCACGCACTGGCTGACCAAGTCCTGACCTAAATTCTCTTTCCCCATTTGTATGCACAAACTTCTGTTGCTAGTTTAAATAGTACACACTTGTAAGGTTATTAGTTTTACCAGTGTGTGTGGGTTATTTAGGGCATAGGCTATTTAGTCTGTACAGAGGAAGGTCTGAGTTCAGCGATCAGGAACGGTCGAACTATGTGTGATCCCACAGCCGATACTGATCTCTCTACAGTGACCACTTTAACAGACATCATTTTAGGTACTCGTAAACTATAATTAACTTACCCAAGCATAGGGAAAGTCCTAGGCGCCACAGACCGCCTTTTTAAAATGAAATGTACTGGCGTCGATGGACACGTCTGAGTTCCAGGAAAGCCGGCAGAATAATACCGCTCAATTTCAATTCAGGCGTTGGTAAGAAGTAGTTCTTTGTATACAGGAGCAAGGAGTAAATCGGTTTCTAAGAAACCTCAAATAACTCCAGTAATATTTATCCAATAGTTGCACATTTGAAAGTGACGTTAAGTCAAAGCAACTAGAAGATGTAGACATTATAATTTTGTCCGATAAAGGCATATATCGATATAAGGGACAATATACCTTTCCGGACGAGTCCAAGTTTGAATGTTGTGTACATCGACAAAATTGTACAGGATGGTACAGAATGGTGGAATAGACTGTGATCCATGTGTGACATACATGAAACAACAGGCTGATGATGTTGCTATCTGCTGACTCCATTTCTTTCTAGCTGTGTCTTATAATATTGTTGATTATTCATCATGTGTCCATTTTACCAGATATAAACATGGATTTAATTTACTGGTTTTTTTTCTTCAGGATCAGTTGATGAACTGGACTTCAGGAACTGTTGAAGAGTTGGTAGCCAGTCACTTTGTCTAGCTACAAAGTTGGAACCACTACCAACAGCATTGTATGATACTTTCTCATTATAAAATTGATCACGGCCATGATTTTACAGAAGCTTCTCTCTGTGTATCTAAGTGAGATAGAAAAACTCACATGAACCTTGAAATAGAGCAGTTTGTTAGCAGTTTCACAGATTGTCAGTTAGTAGTATCACAACATACCTTGAGAAAGAGCAGTTTCACAGATTGTCAGTTAGTAGTATCACAACATACCTTAAGAAAGAGCAGTTTCACAGATTGTCAGTTAGTAGTATCACAACATACCTTAAGAAAGAGCAGTTTCACAGATTGTCAGTTAGTAGTATCACAACATACCTTAAGAAAGAGCAGTTTCACAGATTGTCAGTTAGTAGTATCACAACATACCTTAAGAAAGAGCAATTTCACAGATTGTCAGTTAGTAGTATCACAACATACCTTAAGAAAGAGCAGTTTCACAGATTGTCAGTTAGTAGTATCACAACATACCTTAAGAAAGAGCAGTTTCACAGATTGTCAGTTAGTAGTATCACAACATACCTTAAGAAAGAGCAGTTTCACAGATTGTCAGTTAGTAGTATCACAACATACCTTGAGAAAGAGCAGTTTCACAGATTGTCAGTTAGTAGTATCACAACATACCTTGAGAAAGAGCAATTTCACAGATTATCAGTTAGTAGTATCACAACATACCTTAAGAAAGAGCAGTTTCACAGATTGTCAGTTAGTAGTATCACAACATACCTTAAGAAAGAGCAATTTCACAGATTGTCAGTTAGTAGTATCACAACATACCTTGAGAAAGAGCAATTTCACACGAGACCTTCTTCGTGTTCACCAACTGTAAACTCTGGGGGAAAGTTCTGGTTGTTCATCCACTTTTGTACTGCAGCCCTGTTCCAGAACCTGAGTGTTGCATTTGCATCTATTTTACAGATCTGACTTATTTGTATGCAGACTGCAGGTTCCTTGCCTCTCAGGCAGATGCAATCCAACTTTGAAGGAAGCTTCCAATTAGTCTTCTCTTATGACATGCTTTTGGGTAGGCAGTGGGTTTCCCCTATAATAGGGCCCTGGAACCTGCACGGGGAGCAACACGTGACCTTCAAATATAAATTTGTTAGGGGTTTAAGTGTTAACCCACTTTGGAAGCTAGCTATATTAAAAAGCGTCTCGAAAATCACTTTTTTTTTAAACATTATTCTAAAGCTGCTGATTTGAAAGGTTGAAACATTTATTCTATCTTTATTGTTAACATACACCTTAAGTTTGTAAGTATTGACCAAAATCTTTTACACCCTCATCCATGTTGATACTTTTAGGTTAAAAGGGGTTTCAAGAAACCAGTGATATGAATTATGTTAGTAAATAAATATGAAGAGCTTTGAAGATTTCTAGCTGTGACAGTTTTTGTGTGTGTAGCAGAATAATTTTGTCCTAGAGTGTTTGGGTATTATTTCTCTTCTTCGCATTCATTGGCTGTAAAATCTGGTGGACAGCTCTGATTGTTTATCCACTTCTGGAGAAGCTGTTCCAGAAGTTTTGTGTGCACATCCATTTTACAGATCTCACTTATTTATAGGCAGACTGTTGTTTCCTCACTTTTCAGGCAGATGCAACCTGGCTTCGAAGGAAAAGACCCTCATTAGTTGCAGTAGGTATATCCCCCCCCCCCCCCACCTCAGAAAAAAGGGCCCCTGAAAACTTCACATGGGGATTTTGAGCGTCATTATTTACAACAATAATGATCATTGAAGCATTACAGGCAGGAAGGCAAGTACAGCTTTGTGTCACACAGTAGGATGCTGTTTATAGAGATGTGGTATTGAAAATTGCAAAGATGAACTAGTAATTCTAAATGTAAAATTGCATGATGAATAATGCCATCTATATGACTCTGCTGTCTGAACGATCACATTTCTGCCACTTTGTCATCTCCTTATATAGAAGGTAAGGCTAATCACAACCAAGAGATCTGGCTCTCAACACTCCGGCGATAGGCGAAACAGATATATAGTCAAACAGTTACTGACACCATCTGAATTAGAATTCTTTGCTTGCTGTTAAAAGAGGGGACGGAGCGCTTATGGGAGTGTCCCCAGTGTTGTGATGTTGATTCTTAATTCAACATTCAAAGCTAATCGCAAGATAGTTTTCTCTGCTAGTCTTTGTGGGAGGGCAATGTTGTTTATGTGTCAGCTTTGATTAATCTAAGGCAGTCTGTCACTCAGGTATGTATTCACGTTTGATTTTTTCAAGACTTTCTGTAAAATTTATCAGCGTTTTATTGCATGGAAATTTGGTACATTTCAAGTGTGTTTGTTGCGTATATTGTGATCAGATGAGAGAACAGGCTTTAATTAACCACAATACAAGTTTTGATTAGGAAGCTCAACAAGGGGAAAGGAAATGATGGGCACAGTGACAACCGAGTCTTTAAAACCAGTCTTTATTAACAAATAAAGCAACAGGAATTATGGACTTACAGGAAGGCCAAATAGAGTGTAATTGCAAAAACTAGGAACAGGCAGAGCTATTGGGAAACAAAACAATGTAGGTATGGGAATAAATGGGGAGAAACTATGTCTTTTAAAAATGATGAAAAATATGAGATATTTGGAACAAGAAAAGGCTACTACTTTCTGTGAGTTCTTTGAAACGTTGGTCTGAAAGAGTTGTGTTATAATGAGAAAAATGTTTGTAGCTGGCACAGAATGAGTCTACTTTTTTTATTGTATACTTGGTGGACTTAATGCTAATAAAGCTTTTAATTTAATCTTTACGAAGATCCTGTAAATAGTGTGTGTTAACATGAATTTCTTGTCTGCAGTGTGAGGAAATTATGTTTGCAGGAAAGAGTACATGAAATGGGAACATAGCATGTGATGATGAAAGATATTGTTCCGAATGTCAGTTTAGCGTTTGATGTTTGTGTATTGTCTGTGGGGAAGATTAAAGCATTTTAAGTAGCTAGTTGTTTGTCTTTGTAATATTAAAAATCAGTAGCACATTGTTAAAAACACACCCTGGCAATTGTTAATGATGTTACTAGGCAATTTAACATTCATTAGTTTGTTATGGCTGGGCAGATACTCTAACAAAACCTTTTGAAAAGGCACTAATAGATTCAGCAAACAGCCACACATTCAAACAGCTTACTTACAGTGTTGTCTGTCAATTCATTGCCCAACATATTTTAATAGTTTATTTAGCACCTGAGATTTAAGATTCTTATAGATATTTTACAGATGCATGTTTTCAGTTAATGTGAAAACTTGTACAGCTAGGTCTGTAGCTAAACAACGGCTAGTATTTTTGTATGTGTATATATGGACAGGAATATTTTTTGTGATAATTTAAATTTGTGTGTGTTGCAAATAAGGAGATTAAGTGATTCCTGTGAAAGCTCTTAAAATAAGAAGATTGACTGATTTCCAGTAAAATCACTTCAAAAAAAAAACACTAAACTAATTATTAACTATTACATAAGAAAACTGATGACAGTATCACTAATAGGGCAGCCATACATGCATATATACTACTGTTAAGGGCATATAAAGTGGCGCCGTGATATTCTTCATGCTGAATCTAAATACAATTGTCTTGTCTTTCTTCATACCATTGCTAGCTATATTGGCACAACGAATTGCAGAACTCTTCAAATCATTTACAATGAACTAAGAAAGATATTTGTAATGATCTGAAAAGGATATTTAAAGTAACTGGGAAAGTTGAAGGCAGATAACAGCAAAGAACTGTAAGCATTTATTAGAAAACATGAGACAATGAAGAAACAACCACAGTAGTAAATGTTGGACAGTTTAGGAATGGTCTCAGTAGTCTTGATTGTCAGCCATGAAGTGAAAGAGTTGATGCTAGCTGCAACTTATGTTCAGATGATTGTAATGCCCTGATTTTAATAAGACATAGGGCATTGCAGGTCAGTTTAAAGACATTCCAGAAGACACATTTGTGCAGTTGTTAAATGAAGCAGTCCAATTGTGTCTCAGTTGGGAACTTTGCCATCATGCTTCATGATTTTTGTTTCCGAACATGTATCATGTTTTCCTAGTTTCCACAGATTGTTGTAACCCAGCTGAATGACAGGGGTTACTTCTGTTGGTTTTTGTTTGTCTTTTGCTGATTCTTTCATTCTAATGCTCTGTAGTTGCGTTTATTTTATGTATAAAAAGTGGCCTTACTTTGTGTAGCAGCATCAGTGGGCGACCACCTGTCTCCAGATTAAACCAGTGCATCATCTTGTGTTTTTCCAGTTTATTATATATTTCTTTTTGTGTGTGTGTGTGAATTGTAATTTATCTGGTATTATTTGATTATGTTGCCAGTTATTATTATTTTGTTAAGCAGTTTTTTAAGTGTCATTATGTTCTTGAACTATTTTAATAAATTCATTTACCCATAATTTAATTTTCACCATGTTACCTTAGTTTAAACAGTTGTCTTTTAGCTGCTGTTGTTACTTGCTGATTTGTCAACGGTTTCAGTGTACATTTCTGTTTTTGAGAATTTATGCTATTTAAATTTGCATCTTTGTGTAATATATTAAAGTATATTACTACTAAAGACTCTTTCTTTATCATTCTTGTCCACATTAATTAATGCTGGCTTGTATTGTTGTTATCTGCTTGATTTATGCATATCTGATGTTAAGGAAAGAAAAGTGAGGAAGAGAGCAGTGAACACAGTTCTTTTAGTAAAGTCTGCTGCTGTTGAAATGTTTCTGTCATTTTCTTTTCAAATAGAGAAATCTGAGAAAGAGAGTGTATTTGTGTGTGTGCTGCAGATAGCTACATAATTTAGGTGTGATTAAGACTAGGATTTTATTAAAACAGTTTGCCATTCTCTGTATCTGTTTGTAATATTTGTGTGACACTCAGACATTCGATGCTTAATTTGTGTATATGTGTGTGCTTGCTTATACTAGATCTTGTATACATTTACCAGTACTGGTTGGTACCCATAGAATTTAAGAAT